CCTTGCCCTTGTAAAAAGTGGGTCCCCCCCACTTTCTTGTAGGCTCCTTTGGGTACTGCAAGGTGCTATAAGGTCTCCTCAGAGCCTTTTCTCCTCCAGGCTCCAGTTCTCTCAGCCTTTCTTCATAGGTGTTTTTTAGTTGGTGCTAAGGGGTGCTTGCACTTATTCAAGGACTCTTCCAACATCTGATACTGCATCTGTGTTCCCAACCTTCTCACTACAAGCAGTAGGCAGGGGGCCCCAGTTCAGACAGCTAACCCGAACTAAACAAGGGTTATTTCATTCTACAGCATGCCATACTCAGTATATCAGCTGGGAGTGGGCTGGGGCGCCACAGTTTTATAGCTTGATTGTTTCTTAGCTCAGTAGCTTGTCTTCTCATTTGTTCATGCCTTAGCTCATTCGTTTCTTAGTGAGTTGGTGGGTTGATTGGCTCTCCAGGTCACGCTCTTGTTTGTGGGGCTTGCTCAGACTGTGCTGCGATCCCTCTTGGGGTCTCCAGCTCTCAGGCTCTGGCTCTTGCTACTCAGGACCTGGTTGTTCTATCGGTCAGCGGGTGGTGAGCAATTGTATAATTTTTTTAATTTTCATTGCATGTTATTAGTAGTATTGTTAACATTATCACTATATTATTCATTTACATGAAATTATTAAGTAGTTCTTATCTCAATCCACAAGACTCCTTGTCTTTTCTTCCAAGTCTCCTCCTCCACTGGAGCCCCGGGAGGGGGGGAGGTGAGCAAGTGGCTGTGGTACTTAATTACTAGCCGAGGTTAAACCATGACACATATCAGTTTAAGAGGAAGAAGAACCCTGAACCTGAAGAACATTTAAACTGATATTAAATAATCAAATTCAAAACATACGTGGAAAAATTCGCTGAATTTCTCTCTGGAGTTCTGTTCTGCAGTTTTCTTTTCTGTTCAAGTCACAGGTCTGCTGCTGACATGCTTCAAACAACTGCAAAACCTGCTGACTTAACTTGACCCACACATTCAAAAAATAAAGATAGAGAAGTGAGCAGCCTTTCCTGCCAGAGGTGCAGTTAGAGGAAACACAGAAAACTGCATTAAAAAAAAATAATAATCCACCATCATTTCACACGACCTATTTCATCATCTAGAGTTTTATGACACTTGAATCCATACTGCACAACTTGCCAGAAGAAATTTCTGCAAAATATTTAAATTTAAATTTGTTCAGTCTATTATAAAATGTCTACCTAGAGAAAAATAATTTTCACTTGGGCTGGTTTTGGTCAGGGCAGAGTTGATTTTCTTGACAGTAGCTAGTATGAGGCTGTGTTTTAGATCTGTACTGAGAAGCATATTGATAACACTAATTCTTTTAGTGTTTGCTAAGGAGTGTTTACACCAGTCAAGGACTTCCTCAGTTTCTGATACTGCACCTGTGTTCCCAGCTTCTTCTCTACAAGAAGCTGGGGGAGGACAGAGCCCAGACAGATGGTGCAGACTGACCAGTGGGACGTTTTATGCCATCAAATGTCATGCTCAGCATATAAGTTGAGGTAGGTGACAGGAAAGGTCTCCTAGTATAATATAATTATTTTTTTTCACTTACTTTCAATTATTAAACAGGTAGGTGACAGGAAAGGTCTCCTAGTATAATATAATTATTTTTTTTCACTTACTTTCAATTATTAAACTGCTGTTATCTCAACCCACAAGTTCTCTATCTTTATCCTCCAATTCTCTCCCCCATCCTACGGGGAAAGGAAGGGAAGGAGGTGAGTGAGCACCTGTATGGAACTTGGTCACTTACTGGGCCTAAACCACGACACTGCCTCATCAATATCTACAGCCTTTCAGGGAACAAGCAGTGAAAGACCAGAGATATCTTCTACTCACTTCAACACCAATGGTTTACCTACCAGAAACAGGTAAATAACTATTCAAACCGATTTAAGTTAGCTTTTGTTTTTCACCCCCCCCCAAACTATTAAAGAAATAGTCAAATCTTTGCTGGAAGGAAGTATTGTTTCTCTTTCACAACACTTATATGCTATAATCAACAGGCATATTTATACTACAGAAATCTTCTGTCAGGTTGGTGCAGATAAAGCATGAAGACTGACTAGCCACCTGCTTTTTATTTAAAAAGGAACAAAAAACAGTTACAAGTCCACTGTCCACCTAAAGACATCCTCTTCTATACTGCAGAATAAGCTACGACAGTAACTTTTACCTTCTTCTAAAGAGAGGCAGAAGACATCTTTACAGGCCCAGCACTGTATTTATTCAGAATGGCCTCTCTCACATTACTAGGTGGGTTTGTTGGGGGTCCCCCCCCCCCCAGGATTATCCCTGTCCCTCAACTATGTGGTAAACAGACCACTCCTCCAATTTCTACTTCCTGGAACACACATGTAGGTTCCCTGACATTCGTACGGAAACCAAAACAACACAAGCAAACACCTCCCCTCCGCCGCCAAAAATGCATCAAACACACAGTAGGACCATATGGCAGTTACACTTCTTGATATTCGTTCTAATGACAGCTCAGTGACAGGGATCCCATGGCACTGTCAAAGAATCTTGCAGAAATTTCTGTGATCTCCCACAGCACAACTGGACCCTGCCTACTCAGAAGGCAGGATATAAAGCACAAACATGGAAAGATATTACCTTATCTTTGGCCTCAGGGAGCGTGGTTTCTGTAGGTTTTGGAAGCGAAGTACTCTGCAACGGAGGTACACATACAGGTAATGCTGGTACACAATCTTCACGGGACAGTGGAGAACTACTTGATCCTGGGAAGGAGTATCTACATTCTGCTGGTAAAGGCACAGCCTGCTTAACTACAGGTATTTTGGAACATTGTGAATACAACCGCTGCCGTTTGACAGCACATGATGCACCTTCTTCACTCAGTCTCCTAAAAAAAAAAAAAAAGATACTGAAATTACTCTAGTTTGCAACCTCCAACCTATGATTCAAGATACAGCTGCTACAAATACCCATACTTAATTATGTTACGATTTCACTAAAATCAGGTATTCTACAGAACAAACTGTGTGCCCATCCTAGATACTAAGCGAAACAAACCTGGAACAGGAAAAGAGAACAGAAAAGAGAACATACAGCTGCAAAAGTATAGCTACCCTCAAAGTGATGGATGCAACTGATTTACAAGAGTGTCTGTATTAACCAACTGAAATGTCAAGTTCAGTTAAGCAGGACAGCTCTGAAAGCTGGTCATACTATTTTGGAGACAACATACTATTTTTTTTTTAAAGATACATACAGACTATGTAAGGGTACATCTCATTTGAATCTGTACAAGTGAAGTGAGAACTTTTGAGAGTTCTGAATAAAATAAATTCAGTACTGGAGACTGGAGGAAAAAGACCCCAAACTTATCACTACAGCCATTCAAAATGTAGCATTTGTCTGTGTTTCAGATTACAGTTTACTGTCTGTGCAATCTGGACAGAAAAGAAACACTATTCATCTGACAAACAGAACTAACTATAGTATTAAGCTACACAGGTCATAAACATAGTGTCTTATTTCAAACACTAGTCTGCATCTCTTCAGTAAGTCATCTTGTCACAGGAATGCAAATATATTTGAAAAGGTATAGTGATCTTACAGACAGCCTTTGGGCATCTGGATTCTTAATTAAGAAAATGTTGCAGGTTGAATACTGTGGTCCATCCACAGTAAAGAATAAGACAGGACATTCATGTTTTGTTTATACATCAATTATTGCATAAGGTTAACCAGTATGTGGGTACTTACGCCTTTTTTTTTAATTAAGAAGAATAAAATTAAAATATTCATATGTATCAATGAAGTAACTATTAATAAAGCTAGAGTCGGTATCAAAGTAGTCTGGGGACCTGGGCAGATAATATTATTAATAATAAAACTAACTAAGGAGATCTCAAGTTACTATTTCAGTTTTCAAGTCCAAGAGTAGTTCTGATAACATTACCTATTTGCACTGTTAAAGGAACTCGTAATATCAACATCAAAAACATAATGCTGTTTCAGCCTATTTTGACTGAGAACAACTTGCATGAAATCATGTTCAGCAAGATCTTAAGAAGAGTCGACCCAAAAATCAAAGTATTAACTAGTTGACTGCAACTCTCCTAATACAGCATAAGCTTCCATCAACCAGAGGTTTTCCTCTGGTTAAGAGGAAAACATGCATATAGCATGAGGTCAGGAAATTCTTTTGTTCATGCAACAGTTAAATGTTCAACTACAGCTTAATATGATGAATTTAATTGTATTTATTTTCTCATGTGTTAAGTCTGGAAGGGAAGGAGCATACTGGAAATATTGTGAAGACAGATTGTGTAAAGCTTCCTCCCTATCAGCCGATTCACAGAATTATTATGAACATGTACCAACTACTATTTCTGAACACAGAAGGGATTTTTTTTCTAGAATGCTAAAAGAAAATAAAACCATACATTCATCTGAAATTCCTCTTTCTGTTGCAACTAAAGTAAAAAGGAAGTTATGTAAATTCAACTTAGTTTTTTGAAAAGTAGAAAATTATGTTTACGTAAAATTCCTCTTAAAAAAAGAACTTACATATGCTTGAATTTAGCACTTTGTATTTGAAAAACCAAGCATCACCTAATTAAGAACATTAGGGAAAAACACCTAGTGTGCCATCAGAAAAACGTCACAATTCCCATAAAACACTGAGCGTGCAGTCTTCCTGTTAATTTGTCAAGTTAAGAGTAAGAGAATACTCAATTTATTGACACAAATCCTCTTACAGTCAAGCACAACCAGACCACAATCTATTACAGTATTAAAATAAAACACTTAAGTCACAGTTCTGTAAGACTATAGCTGTTGGAACACAAAAACAACACACACAAAGTCACTTGGGAATACTAAAATTCTCAAAGCAGGTACATGAATGTTTTGAAGAGCCATGACATGGCCTCTTCCAGCAAAAAAAACATTTTATTCAGCATTACAATTTCTTGCAAAATTCAAGTTGCATAAGAAATTGATATTAAACAAGCATCACCATGGGTACATTACAACCAGAGTTAATCACACACACGAAGAACTTACTTTCTTCCTCGGAATGGCGTGGGGTGATCAGCCATATGTACCAGACTGACACTTCCATAAGTTATCGGCTGTGGTACAACAGCTGGAACAGTTGAAAGGTTCCCACACCAAAGAGCCCTGGAAAGACTACAGTCAGTAACAGCTGCTCATATGATAACTAAGACAGTTTTTCTGGGTTGGTAGTTTTTCTCAGGTGAAGATCACTTTTTTTCCTTAGAAGCAATACATCTGCTTTTTCTACCAAAATGAAGAGATAGTTCAGTATATATTTTTCATGGTCATTCTTCACAGCACACATGCAAGAAGAGGTTAGCAAACAGATTAACTTAATGTACTGTTAAATTTAAGAACACCATGGTGTCTTCAAATCTGATCCCAAGAATAAATATTTCTTCCACTTCTCATCTCCTCCCCGTTTTCCCCAGTAAACAAATACAATTGAAGATCTTGAAAACTGAACTGTGGCTTATTATCTCCAAGCAGTGCGATGGCATCTCATGCATTATTCACCATGCAGGAGAGCATTAAAACCTGCAGGTCACCAACAGAAATGACACAGCTCTGTTTTACACCACAACCTTCCTACTTCTTAATGTTTAATGTAGTTTAATATTAAACCCAGTGAACAATATCCTCCATAAACAGAAAATACTTATTTCAAAAGATCATTAACTACCTTTTTCAACCCAATCCCTCCTATCAAGTCTTACGGTACTTACTTCTGAAAGTTAAACTGAACATCAAAAATTTGCTGCTGAGTGCCAAGAGCAGGTGCTACATCTACAGAAATCTTACTGAAGAAACCATTCTGTTGTTGACAGTTTGGAGGGAAGGGTGGACAACCCACGTGGGAAGAATTTGGGAACATACTCCTTTTTACTTGAAGTAAACATGTATCCTTTTACCTATAATAATAATAAAAAAAAATCAAAATTAGGCAACAAGAAATACTAGTTGCCTTTTAAACTCTTTGTTTAAAAATTCAAATAATCTACAATATATTTCCAGAAATTGCTTAAAAGAATTGTGACCATGGGCTACTTTTATGTCCTTTCAGGTCACAGCAGTAAATAAAAATACTACATACTCTTAAGTTTTACAATTACTACTTACTTTATTTATTGGTAAAAGAGTTAATTTTTACTTGCTCCTCTCAATTTTAATTTTAGAAAAGTTATATGACACAAAGCATGAGTTTTCATCTCAAAGAGAAGTAACATTATAGTGGAATATGTTTCTTACTTCAAACACTCCACAACGAGGTTCATGATATATGGGAAGAAACACTTGACTACATCATAAGAACATGAAGATTCTTGAATCTTTGTCAATGCTGCAGTAATACAAAGAGTGCTGACAGGTCCATGCCCCACCATGGAACTCCTACCATCACAGAGCAGTCCAAGTTTGGAATAAAATTAAGTATCGCTTTTAGTTTCTCTCAATTACCAAGCCAAAAAATCAAAATAATAAAAAAGTAATTGTATAAGCAGTTACATTAATAGGCATTCTTTCACACACCGAAACAGAACTTCACTGTAGTAAGGTCTCACTGTTACCACCACCCTGAAGTCTTCCTTAACCTACCACCATGGATTGCTGTTATGTTCTTACCTCCTCAGACAACCCTGACTGTCACCGCAAGGCAGCACTAGCATGGAACATAGGCAAATAAATCCTAAGGAGTTTATTTGCTCAGGTTTGACTTCATTCCTTACCTCCTGTGATGGCAACCCACACTAGTGAAAACCCGGTACTACCTACACGGCCATTGCTATACTAACTCGAAGAAAAAGCAGTCAAGATTCATGCTCTTAGGAGGTGTCTATCTTCTTTCCCCACTCCCCCGTGGGGCGGGGTAAGGGAAGGAGAAGTATTCTGTATTAGCAAAGTTATTTTGGGGATGTTTACTTCCAACTCTGCTGAAGAAACAACACCGAACTGCATGCCAAGAAAGCCACCCGACGTTTGTGTTGTCTGACATTTATGCAGAGTCTAAACTTTTACATTTCTAGCACAGGCACGCGACGGCACAACTGTTAACGCACCTCGCGCGTGTCTGAGCAGCCCAGGCACTCTCGGCACAGCACACACAAGCAAGTTATGGGCATAATTTATCAGTAACACAACCGTGCGCCTCAAGTCAAGATTGAGATGCAAAAGTAACGCGTTGTTTTCAGTTATCAATACCAAAAGAAGATGTTATAAATACCAGAAAGAAAAGCAATGAAGGCGTTACCTTCCCAAAACCGCAACAAAGCCGTGTAGTAACGCTGCCGTCCCACAATAGTTGTAACAACATCTACCGTGACTTTCAGCAGAGATTACCTTGGCGGAAATCGCCAGGCTCCCGTTTCATAATCGTTACGACTCAGGCACACTTGTACCACCGGGCACTTTTTCCAAACAAGCGCGTGTTTTTAAGGAAAGGACACAAACAAATG